CAGACCCCCACCCTCCCCCCCTGACCCCCACCCTCCCCCAACAACAACCACCCTCCCCCCCCAACAACCACCCTCCCCCCCAGACCCCCACCCTTCCCCCAACCTTTGTTTTGAGCGCCGTCAACCCCGGCTGGCCGGCAACTTTCCCACGTTCCGCCAGCAGACCCCGAGCCCCGGTTAATTACAGCAGGTAATCTGGCATCTTGGCGGCGGACGGGGCTACCGGAGGCTACCACTTGCTCCGGCGGACACTGCAATTAGCGGACAACTGCAATTACTGGACATCTGTAATCAGCTCTCACTACTGGAGGCGGGCAGGGAAGGTGGGAGCTAGGGCGGTTGGGATGACCAGTGGGGTAGATTGATCAGTGTGTAGTGGTGGTGGTGGGGAGGGGGGGGGAAGTAGAGGAGTGGTTAGATTAGTGTACTGGGTGTAGTGGTGTAGAGTGGTCAGATGTTAGTGTACTGGGTGTAGTGGAGTTGTAGAATGGTCAGATGTTAGTGTACTGGGTGTTGTGGAGGTGTAGAGTGGTCAGATGTTAGTGTACTGGGTGTTGTGGAGGTGTAGAGTGGTCAGATGTTAGTGTACTGGGTGTAGTGGAGGTGTAGAGTGGTCAGATGTTAGTGTACTGGGTGTTGTGGAGGTGTAGAGTGGTCAGATATTAGTGTAGGGGGTGTTTGGGAGGTATAAATTGGTCAGATATTAGTGTACTGGGTGTAATGGAGGTGTAGAGTAGTCAGATGCTGGGTGTAGTGGAGGTGTAGAGTGGTCAGATATTAGTGTAGGGAAGGTGTAGTGTGATCAGGGTCGAAGGTCAGGGTGTAGCGTGGTCCAGAGGTTAAAGTTTAAGGGTGTAGTGGAGGTGTAGAGTGGCGCAGGAGGATATGGTAAGAGTGTTATGAGTATGTGTAGAACTGTTATGATTGTGGTAAGCATTCACAAGCAGGTCTGTGTCGTAGAAGGTGTATTATTGTTAGGGGGTGAGGGTGGCCAGGGTGTATTTGAGTGTAGGGTGGTGAAAGATAGTATCCAGAAGCACCACCACTTCTGTGCCAGGTAAGTCCACTACGGGCTCACCATAGCCCGTGCTACTTGGACATGTCGTTCCGAAGCAGCTAAATCTAAAAACAACAACCACCACCATGTCTTTAAATGACATCAGTGAGGCACACACCACACACACACACACACACACACACACACACACACACACACGACATGGACATGGTGGTGGACATGATGATCACATTCAAGATTCTGAAGGGAATTGATAGGGTAGATAAAGACAGGCTATTTAACACAAGGGGCACACACACAAGGGGACACAGGGGGAAACTGAGCGCCCAAATGAACCACATAGATATTAGAAAGAACTTTTTTAGTGTCAGAGTGGTTGACAAATGGAATGCATTAGGAAGTGATGTGGTGGAGGCTGACTCCATACACAGTTTCAAGTGTAGATATGATAGAGTCCAATAGGCTCAGGAATGTGTACACCTGTTGATTGACGGTTGAGAGGCGGGACCAAAGAGCCAGAGCTCAACCCCCGCAAACACAACTAGGTGAGTACAACTAGGTGAGTATAACTAGGTGAATACACACACACACACACACACACTTCAAGTGTAGATATGATAGAGCCCAGTAGGCTCAGGAACCTGTACACCAGTTGATTGACGGTTGAGAGGCGGGACCAAAGAGCCAGAGCTCAACCCCCGCAAACACAAGGTGAATACACTACCTTGAAGGTAAGATGCGTAGCGTCTTCGCCAACCACAGCACTACCTTGTTGTGATAGGGTGGACGGCGGCACCTTCACTGACCACAACGTTACCTCGGAGGTGGGATGGACAACCTCTTCAACCGACCACTCGCGCTGGTTTTTGTTTCGTTTTGTTTTCTCGATAGAATGGAAAGCGTCTTAGTCGACCACTACACGCCCTTGTGGCAGGACATGCAGGGTCTTCTCCGGTTAACATGCACTATGTATCCTTCCTGCTAAACGATCAGAACTGAACGATTTGGGTCAAGAATACAACCATTAGCGGATTTATTATTATTATTAACATCTTTAGTGACAAAATTTAATTACAATTTTGTCAATAATCTGAGGAATTCAATTAAGTCTGATTAAAGTGAGGATAATGCTGGTATTCACTGTCACGCAGGACAGAGGGTCATACACAAGACAACAGGTCGAGCGGACAGCACGCTGGACTTGTGATCCTGTGGTCCGGGGTTCGATCCCAAGCGCCGGCGAGAAACAATGGGTTGAGTTTCTTTCACCCTATGCCCCTGTTACCTAGCAGTAAAATAGGTACCTGGGTGTTAGTCAGCTGTCGCGGGCTGCTTCCTGGGGGTGGAGGCCTGGTCGAGGACCGGGCCGCGGGGACACTAAAGCCCCGAAATCATCTTAAGATAACCTCAAGGTCTAAAGTGTAGGCTGAAGCACATATATATCATGGTTACAATCAATGTTTTAATGCACGAATATGTAAATATAACTTTCTATTGTGTACTGCCACACAGGAGCAGGGATGGGTTCGTAAGAGATGCAGCTTAAAAAATAATATAAATAAAATTGCTCTTGCTAAACTACTTGGGAATAGGACTTATTATGCAATAAAAATTTATATCAATCAACAAGAACCTTACAAACATCTCTAAGCGACACCGATGTATCTTTTCACGGATTTGATTGATTGTTGCTGCCGGAGGCGGCTAGTTTATTGTGCACCCCATACCCATCCTGTGAGCGGTAGCGCAAAAAGCATTACAGAGGAAGATCTGAGCCTGATATGGTCGTTAGCATTTCAGATCATCACATTTATTATTATATATATATACATATATATATATATATATATATATATATATATATATATATATATATATATATATATATATATATATATATATAACACTTGGGATGAACGGTAAAGCGACGGTCTCGTTTCAGGCAGGTCGGCGTTCAATTCCCGACCTTGGTTCTGGAAGTCTGTTTTCTGTGCAGCTCGGTCTCGGACCAGGCCTTCTGGTCTGACCAACCAGGCTGTTATTTAGACGCGCTGCTCAAAATCTGACGTGCCTGCATGATGGGGTTCTGGAAGTTGTTCTACTTCCCAAGCCAGGCCCGAGGCCAGGCTCGACTTGTGAGAGTTTGGTCCAACAGGCTGTTGCTTGTAGCGGCCCGCTGGTAATCACGGTAATCGTACGAATCACAGATCGACTGATTTTGACGGACTGAAACATTTTCATATTCATGCCGAGTGAATGAATTTCGACGGACCGAAACATTTTCATATTCATGCCGAGTTCCTTCCTTCCTCGGTGTCAGACCACGTTGCTGGGGACTAATTCTACCTACGAATAACATTGACTGAAAACTATAAATGCAACAATACAATGACTGTCATATTTGCAATGTTGCTCTCACAGCGTTTCGGACCATGTTAACTCTTTTCCACCCGACCATCACGAACCTTAACACATCTCTAACCCTGTCCATGGAGGACAGAAGAAAATGTATATATGCTGGTTAGCATTGTAAATATGTGGCCACGTCTGTGGTAGAAAATAATAATAAAAAAAAAATCACGAACCAAAAATACGTAAACAGAAAACGCCATTTTTTGACTGCACATCTTTCTTACTAGAGAGTCAGAATGATAGTATTCCCACGTGTGTTTATTTACAAAACGGCGAGAGATGCTTGCAAATGCAGACTGCATGCAACTGTACATCGTGATTCATATTTTACTGGTTTACTGTAAGTGTGGTAATGGCCGCCAGGTGTGTGTGTGCAAATGGCCACCAGGTGTGTGTGTGCAAATGGCCACCAGGTGTGTGTGTGCAAATGGCCACCAGGTGTGTGTGTGCAAATGGTCACCAGGTGTGTGTGTGCAAATGGCCACCAGGTGTGTGTGTGCAAATGGCCACCAGGTGTGTGTGCAAATGGCCACCAGGCGTGTGTGTGTGCAAATGGTCACCAGGTGTGTGTGTGCAAATGGCCACCAGGTGTGTGTGTGCAAATGGCCACCAGGCGTGTGTGTGCAAATGGCCACCAGGCGTGTGTGTGTGCAAATGGCCACCAGGCGTGTGTGTGTGCAAATGGCCACCAGGCGTGTGTGTGTGCAAATGGCCACCAGGTGTGTGTGTGTGCAAATGGCCACCAGGTGTGTGTGTGTGCAAATGGCCACCAGGTGTGTGTGTGTGCAAATGGCCACCAGGTGTGTGTGTGTGCAAATGGCCACCAGGTGTGGTGTGTGTGCAAATGGCCACCAGGTGTGTGTGTGTGCAAATGGCCACCAGGTGTGTGTGTGTGCAAATGGCCACCAGGTGTGTGTGTGTGCAAATGGCCATCAGGTGTGTGTGTGTGTGCAAATGGCCACCAGGTGTGTGTGTGTGCAAATGGCCACCAGGTGTGTGTGTGTGCAAATGGCCACCAGGTGTGTGTGTGTGTGCAAATGGCCACCAGTGTGTGTGTGTGTGCAAATGGCCACCAGGTGTGTGTGTGTGTGCAAATGGCCACCAGGCGTGTGTGTGTGCAAATGGCCACCAGGCGTGTGTGTGTGCAAATGGCCACCAGGCGTGTGTGTGCAAATGGCCACCAGGCGTGTGTGTGCAAATGGCCACCAGGCGTGTGTGTGCAAATGGCCACCAGGCGTGTGTGTGCAAATGGCCACCAGGCGTGTGTGTGCAAATGGCCACCAGGTGTGTGTGCAAATGGCCACCAGGTGTGTGTGCAAATGGCCGTCAGGTGTGTGTGCAAATGGCCGTCAGGTGTGTGTAAATGGCAGCCAGGTGTGTGTGCAAATGGTCGCCAGGTGTGTGTGCAAATGGTCGCCAGGTGTGTGCAAATGGCCGCCAGGTACCCACAAATGGCCAACAGGAACCCCACAAATGGCCACTGAACCTGTGGTTTCCCCGGAGGTCAGCTCCGGCAATTATTTTTCCGGGCAGGAAGGCAGTTTCTTCACAGCTGATTTAATGGCCAAGTATGGCTCCTCACGAACGGCTAAAGGCTCCTCACGAACGGGTAAAGGAAGGCTCCTCACGAACGGCTAAAAAGAAGGTTCCTCACGAACCAAACTCTGAAAGTTTTTTGTTATCTTGCATCATTCATATGAAAAGACCATTTCAAAATCAATAAACTGTTTTAGAATGCCCGATAAAGATTTGGAAATTCTGCAATCCTGTATTTTAGTTTTTTTTGATTAGTGTTGACATTACAAGTTAATTGAGAGACGATTCTTGCACAACTTTAACCATTGCATGCAATAACTTAGATATTTTTTTTTGCTAGTAGCTTTCTGGCTTCACTTAAATCTCCCTTTGAAAGTATAAATAATTCTGAATTCGTAAATAACAGGAGACGTTTTTTGAGTATTTTAATTAAATATTGAAATGTGTTGATCAGTTGTGTAATAGAACAGTGACGAGTGCTGACGACCCCAACAACACAGTGATGAGTATTGACGACCCCAACACAACAGTGATGAGTATTGACGACCCCAACACAACAGTGATGAGTGCTGACGACCCCAACACAACAGTGACAAGTGCTGACGACCCCAACACAACAGTGACGAGTGCTGACGACCCCAACACAACAGTGACGAGAGCTGACGACCCCAACACAACAGTGACGAGAGCTGACGACCCCAACACAACAGTGACGAGAGCTGACGACCCCAACACAACAGTGATGAGTATTGACGACCCCAACACAACAGTGACGAGAGCTGACGACCCCAACACAACAGTGACGAGTGCTGACGACCCCAACACAACAGTGACGAGTGCTGACGACCCCAACAACACAGTGACGAGTGCTGACGACCCCAACACAACAGTGACGAGTATTGACGACCCCAACACAACAGTGACGAGTGCTGACGACCCCAACACAACAGTGACGAGTGCTGACGACCCCAACACAACAGTGACGAGTGCTGACGACCCCAACACAACAGTGACGAGTGCTGACGACCCCAACACAACAGTGACGAGTGCTGACGACCCCAACACAACAGTGACGAGTGCTGACGACCCCAACACAACAGTGACGAGTGCTGACGACCCCAACACAACAGTGACAAGTGCTGACGACCCCAACACAACAGTGACGAGTATTGACGACCCCAACACAACAGTGACGAGTGCTGACGACCCCAACAACAGTGACAAGTGCTGACGACCCCCAACACAACAGTGACGAGTGCTGACGACCCCAACACAACAGTGACAAGTGCTGACGACCCCAACACAACAGTGACGAGTGCTGACGACCCCAACACAACAGTGACGAGAGCTGACGACCCCAACACAACAGTGACGAGTGCTGACGACCCCAACAACAGTGACGAGTGCTGACGACCCCAACAACAGTAAAATGTGGCAAATACAATAATACAGTCGTGACTACAGTTAAATACCACAATACAACGACAAGTCTCCTCAGGAAATGAACGTAAGTGAAATGTATAACTCCATTCATCTAAGTAAACACTTTTCCTAAACTTGAGATGCGACAAGATATTCGCCTCCAGACTCGATAATGCAAGGTTCGAATCCTGGTGAGAGTCAGCGTGTTTAGAGAGATATATAAGATTATATAATGATTTAAGTTTAAATATGGGACGATTCATGGCACTTAGATTTAAGAACATTTGCCGTGTTTATGTCTGACGTGGATAAGACAGGACACAATATTTTGTTTTAAACAGCGCTAAGGGTTTCTCATTTTGGTTTGTAAACAGGAGGTGTAAATGTTGTAAATGCTCAGGGTTTAAGCGAAGCGCCAATCATTCTTCCAATGAGTCAATCATTCATCATAATATACTCGAAGCCAGTCATTCGTCACAACATACTCGAAGCCAGTCATTCATCACAATATACTCGAAGCCAGTCATTCATCACAATATACTTGAAGCCAGTCATTCATCACAATATACTTGAAGCCAGTCATTCATCACAATATATTCGAAGCCAGTCATTCATTACAACATACAAGAAGCCGTCACACACACACACACACACACACACACACACACACACACACACACACACACACACACACACACACACACAAATAATAGTGATTTAAAGTCCTAGACGTTGGCTATAGTTATAGCAACCTTAGACACTATATCTTACTTACAATGAATTACAGAGGTATTTTCAGTCTTCAAACCTGACTAGTAGAAACGTGACGCGCTCTGGCGGCAGACAGCAGAACCGTGCTTTTGTTTTGATTCTATCAGCTGATTTGCTTGATTTATAGAGCCGAGATTATGTTGTGTGTGTGGGCCGGGAAGGGGGAGGGGAGGAGTGGGGGTGGGGGGGTAGGAGTGGGGGCGAGGGGGGGGGGAGATTGGGTGGGGTGGGGGTTAACAGTTAATTGTGGGTGTGGTTGATGAATGCTTTTAATCTTATTTAACTGTAGACGATATTTAAGGTTTGATCGAATGAGTGTAGCTATCGCGCTGTCTTGAATAGCTCAACTGACAGGTAGATGGTATACCAAAAAAAATATTTTTCTTGTTATTTTACCTCCATATTCCGAAAGTTGACTGAGGCTGGTGAATTGATGACAAAAACAGCAAGCGCTTGCTGTATTTTGTTAATAAGAACAGTTGACTGCAACTGGTTAGGAAATATGTTTTCCCCTGTTCTGTTAGCTGACTGTAAAATGGATGATGCTGAAAGATTTTAGCATTGTTTGTCGTCCTCTTGCCAGCTACAATACTCTACTGACCAAGTACGATCTTCTACTGACCAGGTACGACAGCCAGAAGTATCTTTTGCGAATGGACAGTTGGAGAGATCAAATGATTCGGGGAAAATATTGGAGGGTCTCAAACATCCTAGAGGAGATACATCCTGTTGGGCGCTAACCCTTACTCCCTTACTCGACGTATCATGTACAAATCTAAACAAACGTCGACCTCTCAAACTAGAACACAGTTCTTTTTTTCAAACTACATACAGTAAGATAATCTGAATTTCAACCGGACTTGGGCAATTTGATAGCGACTCCCAGGAAACAATGGAGAGATGTCGCAAGAATGCCCCGAGCAACAGGGAGGCCCATAACAAGTGATTTCCGGGTCAGTAATAGTTCTCGCCTTGTTTCGTAACTGCGTTTATCATACCTCCAGCACCGGGTGGTTACAATGTTGCTGCATGGGCTTTAGGAAAATTTGCTTCTGGTGTTCAAGATAACAGCGGGTTTTCTTCCTATTGGGGAGTGTTGTACATGCTGCTATGGCGGTGTGTCCACTCACAAGGTGAGTGGCGCTGCCCAATAAACTCGCCCCTCGGGGCAAAATTTAAAAAAATTTAAGCGTATGAAGGCTGGGTTGGGGACATCGTTATTAAGATAGTGCCTGACAGCTGAATGGACAGCTAGCGCTTCGGATTCGTAGTCCTAAGATTCCCGGTTCGATCCCCGGTGGAGGCGGAAACAAATGGGCAAAAAGTTTCTTTCCCCCTGATGCCCCTGCTACCTAGCAGTAAACACGTACCTGGGAGTTAGACAGCTGCTACGGGCTGCTTCCTGGGGGGGGGGGGGTTGTAACAAAAAGGAGGCCTGGTCGAGGACCGGGCCGCGGGGACAGGTAGGTAGCAGTCTCCCTACCTACCTGCTCGCTCGTCTGTCTACCCTACTTGCAGACTCGTTTCCTGCTACAGGAGCAATTTTCCTGTTCTTCAATCAGCTGGCGTGAATCACACGGACAACAACAGTCATAAACAGGACATACCTCGCACACTCATGCTCACGATGGCTCACGACGTAAAGAAAAACACGACATAATTAGTGATTTTCAGCTGGCCAGCAATTTCCTTTTCCTTCGTGAGACATCCGTCGATGTGTGGTGTCTCCAGACGTTGCTCTACTTCCGCTGATATGTACATGTGTTGCCTATGATCTCAACTACACTCTAAGGTATCAGTAACTTTCGAGGAGCACTATACGTTCTCGCCTCTCTTTTCTCTCCCACACACACACACACACACACACACACACACACACACACACACACACACACACACACACACACACACACACACACACACTCACTCACTCTCTCTGTGTGTGAGAGACCGACCGATATTAATAAAAATAGTTATAGAGAAAACTAAGTCCTCGTGGCGTAGTGGCAAAGCACTCGTCCAGCGTTTCGCGAGTGCTTTGGCCTGGGTTCATATCTTGGCCGGGAAGGATTGACTGGGTGCCAATCCTTATCTGTAGCCTCTGTTCATCCAGCAGTGAATGGGTTGTTAAACGCTTTGGCGGGTCGTATTCCAGAGGAAAATTAGAATTAAGGACTTGCCCGAAACGCTCTGCGTGCTTGTGGCTTTATGAGAAATGTATGAACTCTTGTATATAAATAAATAAATAAATAAATAAATAAATAAATAAATAAATAAAAACCAGTTTCAGCCACTCAAGGCCAACACAATGCTTAGCTTATACTCAGTCAAGCATTTTCGAGGTAAAATTAGCGTTGGGGTTGTAGGGAGAGGAAGGAGGGGGTAGGGAAGGTTCAAGTGATTCTGGAGAGAAGTTCGAGTCGCTTCCGAAGCTTCTGCATCACCACAGTACGAGCGTAACATCAGACTATGCTCGTCCAAGCGGTGGCCGACCCCGTGACGCATTTATCATATATATAACGCACGGTGTAACAAAAAACTATATTTAATATTGCATAAATGAATATTTATATTTTAATTTTTTTTTACACCTATGCCTGGGTTAGGTTATTTGTTTTGATTCTGTTGGCAATTATTCGTAATTGCAAATCTGGAAGACAAGCGAACTTAAATAGTTCAAGAAAAGTTCTGATTAAGTTGTGCCATATATAAAGTGTCTTCCGTTCATCAACAGTGTCTTCCGTTTTGGCGGAAAGTTTAACGCAAATTTGGCCATGGATTAAGAGAATGGGCTGGCACTTGGGCTGGTGGTGGTGGGGGGGAGAGGAGGAGGAGGAGGAGGAAAAAAAAAAAAAAAAAAAGAGAGAGAAAAGAGAAAGAGAGAGAGAGAAGAGAGAGAGAGAGAGAGAGAGGAGAGAGAGAGAGAGAGAGAGGCGAGAGAGAGAGAGAGAGAGAGAGAGAGAGAGAGAGAGAGAGCGAGAGAGAGGAGAGAGAGAGAGAGAGAGCGAGAGAGAGAGAGAAGAGAAGAGAGAGAGAGAGAGAGCGAGAGAGAGAGAGAGAGAGAGAGAGAGAGAGAGAGAGAGAGAGAGAGAGAGAGAGAGAGAGAGAGAGAGAGAGAGAGAGAGAGAGAGAGAGAGAGAGAGGAAGAGCGAGAGAGAGAGAGAGAGAAACAGAAACTGCTGCGGGATTTCTGCCAGAACTGGGAGAGCAGCGGGAGCCGAGGACACTCGCCATGTTGGGACACGAGACAGTATAAATGTTGGTCCAGCAGGAGTGTGTATTGTGACAGGCTTCCTAGGAACCAGGAAAAAGCACTATGCGACAAATATAGTTGTTTTGTCTCGCCAGAAACGTGTGGCTCGAAGACATGGCAGGCGAGTTCGTTCCTGTGATTGAAGATATATATATATATATATATATATATTATATATATATATATATATATATATATATATATATATATATATATATATATATATATATATATATTTATATATTATTGGAGGAGTAACCAAGGATATTTGGAGAAAAGCCTCTTGACAGTTCATCCTGGCCTCAATTAATTGCCTCCAGAAGGTGAATAAGGAGAGAGCAAGTCGCACTTACCTCCTCGTGGTGCTCCTTGGGTAACGGGGGGGGGGAGGTGGGAAGGGGGCAAGACCTACCTACTTATTTACCTATTTTTTTTTTACAATGGTTATGTGTGAAATGGAAGAACACGGGTAGACCCTGCATGATCACACCTTTGTAAAAATATGCTGTAAATCTTTTCGAAATTTATCTTATTTCAAGGGATTATGAATTGCCTTTGTATTTGGCGTTTCAGTTAACATTCTCATCATTGACGTACATTCATTTGAGTCCCCACTATCCGACATATATCTTAAACATCATCAAAACATATTGCAAAATGGCAGGACACTAAAACAGGGCAGGTGACCAAGACTCAAACATTTCACTGGAAGACCCATATGGACTTTTGAAATTTATGTCTAATCACTGCACATATCCGTCTGACAAACTCTCTCTCTCTCTCTCTCGGGCATACTCAACAATCTAACCCATCTACACCCACCCTCTCGATCACACCCTCAATATACCCATCTACACCCACCATTCTCGGACACACCCACAATCTACGCATCTATACATCCAACGCCGCAGTCGCCGCCCGAGGCGATCAGTCTGGGCCAACATCCTGCCTCACCCAGAGTATCAGAGAGAGACTCAGATTTATGCTGCGATGGTTTTTCCTAGCTCCCTGTATAAGGCAGTAGACCGGTTGGCCTCGCTGGAGCTGGAAAACGCCGTCAGACGAAAAATCAAAAGGGGAGAGAGAGATGAGGAGAATATTCTTTGTCAGTCACTGATGAGCTCTCTTAAAAGGTATTTTTGGGTATCAATTGCGTTAACCAGTCATTTGAACTGTCAACTGACGAGAGAAAACTTGGGCTGCATTTAACACAGTGAAATCACAATTGCGTGATATGTGTTGACCAAACCACACACTAGAAAGTGAAGGGACGACGACGTTTCGGTCCATCCTGGACCATTCTCAAGTCGATTGGGACTTTACCAAATCGGACCATTCTCACAATCGACTTGAGAATGGTCCAGGACGGACCGAAATGTCGTCGTCCCTTCACTTTCTAGTGTGTGGTTTGGTCAACATATTTCAGCCACGTTATTGTGACTCCTCGTCTGCGTGATATGTGAGAAAATCATTGCATCTGGGAGTCACCAGAACGCTGGTTGAAATCCAAGCATTACTCCTAATGGGTTTCTCTTGCGTTGTATTTATCTACGAATAAAGTTTCCTTGCATCTTGATGCTTCTCTACCTTTGCAGTGTGTATTAAATTGATTGAAATAGACAGAAATGGGAAGAAAATACAATGTCTCCCTGGTTTATGCAGTGACGAATGTCATTCGAAATTAATGAATTTCTTTCAGATTTAATTTGCTGCATTTTTTGTTAGGAATATAAGAATAATGAAAGTTTTAGAAGGCCTTCTGGCCCCTACGAGCAATCCTAAGTTTATTATGATGCATAAAAACAGTAAATTAAACTGCAGAAGGCCTGTTGACACGTACGAGGTCTCATGTTTATATCCACCCAAACTCATTCACATGTATGTTTAACAGCTTTGCATAATAATGACTAATAATTCACTTGTATGACAACAAGACGTCCTAGACGTCCAAGACGTCTTCATGTCATGAAGACCAGGAGAAGACCACTAGCAGAGTTGCTGCTGCTGCTGCTGCTGCTGCTTTTAGATTTAGCTACTCAGAACAAAATGTCCATGTAGCACGGGCTATAGTGAGCCCGTAATTTAGTTCAGGTATTCATGATAACCTTTTTACTGTGGTATTTGGGACAGTTTCAAATGGAGGTGGCGTTTCCTCCTTTTCTACACTTTCTTTTCAGCTTCTGTTTTAGCACACTGGGCTTAATCTTGTTTTAATAACATTATCTTGGTGGCGGATATAGATGCACAATGTTCGCTGATCTGTCCCATTCTTCAACTGCTTTTCTTACCATTGTAGTCGCTGTGGAAGCAGAGTTGCACGGACGAGCGCTTAACACCATGTAGTTGTTAAGGAGAGATGACCAATTCATTTACGATTTTTTTCCGTAACATTGAGATAGTCGAGATATTGTCTATCTTCTTGAGGTTATCTTGAGATGATTTCGGAGCTTTAGTGTCCCCGCGGCCCGGTCCTCGACCAGGCCTCCAACCCCAGGAAGCAGCCCGTGACAGCTGACTAACACCCAGGTACCTATTTTACTGCTAGGTAACAGGGGCATAGGGTGTAAGAAACTCTGCCCATTGTTTCTCGCCGGGGCCTGGGATCGAACTCAAAACCACAGGATCACAAGTCCAGTGTGCTGTCCGCTCGGCCGACCGGCTCCCTTTTGATGCTATTGAATGCTATTGAATACTATTTATACAATAACAGAGTTTGCTATACCTCATAATGATATCAGATACCTCATAATGATATCAGATACCTCTTAATGATACTATGATAGCTGGCATTGCGGTGACGAAGTGGGAGTTGTTGCGTGAGAGAGTTTATGTTTAAGAGATATGAAGGACGAAGATTCATCACATTAAAACACAGAGTGCGGTAGTTGTAGGCGAGTCACGTCGCCGACATTATGTACACTGTGTGAGAGAACGATGGCTCTTACCGGTGTCTTCCCACGTCGGCTCGACCTTGAGCCATGTCTTGCATGATCTTCTTTCCTCGTTAAACGGCGATACTCTTTATGCTTGCTGGCGTTACGGTGATATTCTGGCCCTTGGACACGCCGCATGGACCATCATTGAGCTTTGTTTACACTCGTTTCCGGGACAGGAATTATCTTCATCATGGGCAGTTTGTCGTCATACTCTGCACGAGTTCAATTAGATCTTTGTCAATTGCAAAAATATTTATAAGAAATTAAAACATCCTTTGTCAAAGATGCTGCAAGGATAACGTGATAGTATTATTCACGTCATCTTTTTTTTTGTCCAGTTACTTGCCTGTCTTTTCCTTAACGTCAAAAATTTTTGCGTATATGAGTGAAGGCATCCCCTACGCAGTTGTCGCTTCTTGACCCTCATTACCGTGTTCCGGTAATGAGTGTTTCCAGGTGTAGTTTTGAGATAAGGGAGATGATCTGAGGTATGAGTTACGAGCAAAGTTAGTGTGAATTTCACCTCACATCACTTGGAGACAGAAGAGTTAGGGGAGACATTATTACCACATACAAAATACTCAGGGGAATAGACAGTAGATAAACACGTTATTTAACACAATTGGAACACGAACAAGGGGACGCAGAGGTGGAAACTGAGTACCCAAATGAGCCACAAGCACATTAAAAATAAATTTTTCGGTGTCAGAGTAGTTAATAAATGTAATGCATTAAGAAGTAATGTTGTGGAGTCTGACTTCTTACACAGTTTCAAATTCATATATGATAGAGCCCAATATGCTTAGGAACCTGTACACCAGTTAATTGGCAGTTGAGAAACAAGAACAAAGGGCCCAACATCCGCGCGCGCACACACACCACACACACATCCACACAGGGCCGGTGGCTGAGTGGATAGCACACTTGATACGTAGTCATGTTGACCGGGATTCGATTCCCGGGGCCGGCAGAAACAAAATGGGCAGATTTTCTTTCGCCTTGATGCTCCTGTTACCAAGCAGTAAATAGTAATCTGGTGTCGGAAATCCGACAAATAACATACTAATACTAAACGTTACTAATCCAATATAGTCAGCCAACCTGGCTATACCATTTACATTAGTTAGTCAAAGTTTAAAGAGAATGGGAGATCGTGGCGTCACACAACATTTAAACTCATCTCGTATCCTTAAAACTACCAGTTTAAGCATTAAACTTAGTAAAAAAAAGTATTCACTATGACTGGTTCTTAAGTAATTATCAATAAAGCTTAGCTCCCTATTGCCAATATAAAGACAATATTGGAACCATAACATTGGCAGACGGCAGCTCGGAGAGGCGCTGGCTCCGCGAGTCACTGAAAACAAACTTTCCCGCGAGGTTTAGCGACACGCAGCACAAAAACAATAGACATTCTATCCCCCCAACAGTGTATTGCCACAACGACCTCTACATCAATAACGGTTAGAGCCGAGTACCCACCTATACCAAATATCTGGTATAGGTTTTTTGGCCATTAACTGTTAAGATAGGTTAGGCGGTTATGCAGTGGGGCATCACCCCAACACAAGTAAGCTTGTTGACCAGACCACACACTAGAAGGTGAAGGGAGGGCGACGTTTCGACTTGAGAATGGTCCAGGACGGACCGAA